ATACACACACACACACATATACATATATATATATATATATATATATGTGTATATGTATGTATATATTACACACACTAGATATTTACATTCATAGAACTTGCTTAAAAAGATTATTTAAATGTAATAACAAACTTATTTGTGTCAATTTTTAGGCTCTTAACATCCTAGCTTGGCTCCTGGGAAGCCTGTTAGCACATTAATGATGCAGCTGGCACCACAGATAATCTCCTGCTTGCATTTCTTATAGCTTTTCTGCTCAGACTACTATGGATATTTCCCATCCCCATGGCATGCTAGCCAAGTGTGTGTGTGTTGAGCTGGATAAAGGGCTCTTTTTTGTGTTTGTCGGTTTATTTTAAAATAAACGTTTAGTTTGAATGTCTGTCTTTTGTTTTACACTAAGGCTTATTCACACTAGGTCTTCTGCTAACCTAGTGGGTGGAGCATGGAGTGTACACTCCATTCAGGTCTCAGGTCCCCACATGGCAGCGGTGCCGCAGTGTGACCTGTGGTAGCATGCAGTGCATTGTGATAAAATGCAGTACGATTTCATTTTATCACAGCACACTGCCCACTGTTTTGTAGTGTGAATGGGGAACCGAGAAAACAAAGGTCTTCTATGTGTCCTTGCGGTGACCTGCGTTGATCTGTTGTGGTACAACACAGGTCACCGTTATAGGTTTAAACAGGCCCTTAAAATGTTCATGCACATTGGGGTGGATAAAATAAAGACAAAACATGGCCTATAGAGAAAAATTAACCACCATCAACTATATGGAAGTTAGTTTTAGAAAAGCAAATAGACTGTTTTATGCTTTGACATACCTCCTTTGGCATTTGATTGTTCCGGCCAGTATGGTTACCAGCTGAATCAGTGCAATCCACAGACAGTCTAACTTTTCAATATAGATGTAAGTAGATGGAGAGACCCTCCGCACTCCTCACAGCAGTCCTGGCCAGATATGAAAAAAGTAGTGCTCGCAGTGATGAGATACCACGGATAGCGCCGTGCAAACACAGGAAAGTCAGGAAATCACCAGCACTCAGTAGTAAAGATAAATATGTCCCTTTTATTGGACAGAAAGCGTCACAGACATCCAAATAAACCGACGGCAGAAAGATCACATCTTTCTGCCTTGAGGAAGGGACCCTGCGCGTGCTGGTGATTTCCTGACTTTCCTAACTTTTCAATATGACACAGAAGCTTAATCCAACACAATTGTACTTTACAGAGGATGTTTGCTGGTCATTTGAAGTCTAAAAGACAATGATCTGCCAAGCCTAGTGATTTATATCATAGAGTGAAATAAAAAATGTAATATATATTAAATAAACATGCAAGTGAATAATACAAATTAATAAACCTTATCTCATCTTATAATTATTTGATCTCTACTACATGATGTTATTAGTGAAAACAGCACATATATAATCTGAATGTCACCCGTGTAAATATATGTGATAATTATGTGAATCACTATAAACGATATAAATATAACAAGGTTATATAACAGAGGAAAGAAAAAGTACTTTGGACGAAATGCATCAAGGGATTTGACTGTCTCCTCGCTGACATGGTGAAAAAGATCCAGAGGTTGAGTGTCCTTTACACTCGCACGCTGTTATCCTTACGGATTCCTGTAAGTGTAATCATTTTTTAATTCAAATAAAAGGTCTTTTTGCTATCTGCACTTAGATATCTCTCTTTTCTGTGGCTTCTACTTTTCTCTACTCTCTTGTTTGGACTCCCCAATTACACCTGGAGGGTGCGGACCATCGGCAACGAGAGGGAGAACCAAGCCTAGTGTCTGCGCTGAAAGCGAACAATGAACTGAGGGAACATAGAAGAAGAAGGGAGGGTATATCTAAGACTATACCTACTGACACTTAATAGGAGGGGAGAACAGTGGGAAATTCCAAATGTATACAGAAAAACAAGTTGTAGTAGTTCTAATCTACCACTAGAGGGCAGGCATGTATTACAACATAATAATAAGCCAATTCAATGCATACACTGTTTCCCCGAAAATAAGACCTACCCCGAAAATAAGACCTGGTACTATTTTTGGGAATTGCTAAAGTATAAGACCTACCCTGAAAATGAGACCTAGTTGCGACCAGAGCCGCATTAGCCGATGCCTCCTCTATAGAGCCGACTCCCGTCACAGGCGGAGTGATACCAAATGCACTCCGCCTGTGAGGAATCGATAGTGAAAGTGTGCTTCGCTCATTCTGGGCAGCAATTGGTTAGCAGATTGCTCTTGGAAAGGTACGGCACCCCTGATTGCCCTGATCACCATATTTTTATACATGAATACATGGAGACTGTTGTACATGAATAAGTGTGGATTGTTGTACATTAAAATAAATAAAATAAAAAAATAAGACCTACCCCGAAAATAAGACCTAGTGTGTTTGTATGAGACAAAAAAATATAAGACAGTGTCTTATTTTCAGGGAAACACGACAGCAGAAAATAACAGTGGCTGTAGACCAGTGGTTCTATCTGATAATGGCTATGGCATATATGCAGACTCAGGAACTCAGGCACGGATAGAGGGCTCTCAAGGGAAATAAGACATTGGCTGGTGAGTTTAGCTCGTATGTACCAAAACGGAAAAAAATAGTTTTGGGAACAATGACCCTTTAATACACTTCTGTATTTTAAATCAATTCCTATTCTAAAAAGAAAACAATTAAGTAATTTTGAAGTTGCTTTATGAATGATCAATTTGCTGTAAGTTTACGACTTAAAAAAAAAAGGTCTGAGCAAAAACAAGAACTTGCTGAAGCGAAAAGTTATGCAAAGTAGAGAGCGTGTGAAACCTGACAAGAGAACATACAGTCAGGGCAACAAATATGTCACTAAAGGAAATTCTGCTAAGTAGAAATTTCCCACATTAGAACTCAAAGGCCCATTCAGACTATTTTGTTTCGGAAATGTGCATTTCATTGCACATTACTGCAAGGTGCATTATTGCATGAATCCATGGCCGGACTGGGACAAAAAAAAGGCCTGGACATTTTAGACTGAGCAGCCCACTCGCCCTGACAGGCACTGCCTTTTTGCAATCCAGGGGTGGAGCCAAATACAGAAGTGCAATTGAGCAGCGGGGCCAGCCGCTGGTAAGTACAGGAGGGCTACAGCCGACACACAAGCCTTGCTACTACCAGCATACAAACCCTGCCACAATATGCAAACCTTGCAACAATATTAGAAGCTTGCTACAGAGAACTAGTGATATCTTTAGCGGATCTCTGCCTCCCCAGCCGTCCACCGCACCCTGAGCACGATGTACAGGTCAGTGCTCCCAAAATATTGCTTACAGTACTCCAGCAACACTATACCATCTATTCTGTACACAGGTAAACCACAAGAACACTGAACTGACAGCTTTTGGTGGGTCTTTCAAGGCCGAGACTATTGGCTTGTAACTCTGCTGCGATACATAATTTCCGCTCCAAACAGAAAGCTTTATGTGTAGCAGAGAATGCTGACACTTAACAGAAAAAACATGTAAACAGCGCTCTCGGATGGGCAAAAAGTTAGCTTAGAGGCGTGTATGCAGCCCTGGAAAACAGGAGGAGAACCTGTGAAATGCAAATGTTCAAGAAACCAAGAAAGGGCGCAGAGAACACTGGCTAGCTAACGAAGTAATGAAAACTGAAGGTGGTGGCACTTACGCGTGATTGCCAGGACCTGGAGATGGACGGCCGGTATGGAGGATCGGGGCACTCGTGGTGTGGTTCCGAGTATAGGATAAATATGGGCCCATGGTGTACAAATGAGTATTCAATAAGCAGGAACCTTTAAAAAAAACACTTATAATAATATCACCCATATATATTAATATTACCCATCTTCTACAATGGTGTTACTTACTGAGTA